AGTTCGAGACCAGACTGGCCAACATGATGAAACCCCATCTCTATTAAAAGTACAAAAATTAGCCGGGGTGGTGGCTCACGCCTGTAGTCCCAGCTACTCGGGAGGCTGAGACATCAGAATCGCTTGAACCTGGGAGGCGGAGGTTGCAGTGAGCTGAGATCATGCCACTGTACTCTAGCCTGGGTGACAGAGTGAGACTTGGTCTTAAAAAAAAAAAAAATATCCTGGGCTCGAGCAATCCTATCCCACTTAGCCTCCAGAGTAGCTGAGGCTACAAGGGGGAATGCCACCATGCCTGGCTAATTTTTGTATTTTTTGTAGAAATGGGGTTGCACTGTGTTGCCCAGGCTGCTCTTGAACTCCTGGACTCAAGCCATCCTCCAGCCTTGACCTCCCAAAGTGCTGGGATTATACATGTGATCCGCCAAGCCTGGCCAAATATTGATTTAATTCCTTAATGTGCCAGGTACTGTTCCAGACCCTGCGGATACAACAGAATACAACAGAACAACAAACAACCTGATTTCATTGTCCTTGCCCTCCTGGGACTTTTTGTTTTGTTTTGTTTTGTTTTGTGTTTTTAGTTATTTTTTCTGTTTTTATTTTATTTGTTTTTATATATTTTTTGTTTTTATCTTTATTTTTGGAGCTTTATTTTTAAAATTTTTAGGGGCAGGGTCTTGCTCTGTCACTTGGGCAGGGGTGCAGTGGCACAATCATGGCTCAAACTCCTGGGTCCAATCGATCTTCCTACCTCAGCCTCCTGAGTAGCTGGGACTGCAGACTTGTGCCAACACAATAATTTTTTTTTTTTTTTTTTTTTTTTTTTTTTTTGAGACAGGATCTTATTTTGTTGCCCGGGCTGTCACGGACCTTTCATTCTATTTAGCAAACAGACAATAAACCCTAGAGATAATTGGCTATAATCCAAAGATGGAAACATCTCCCTTTTTCCCTTCCCGTCCCATCCTCTCTTCCATTCCCCTCCCATCCCATCTTCCCTTCCCCATCCTGAGAAGTGGACAGAGCCCTGCACACAGTCACCATGTCCCCTACTGCAGTGAGACCTTTTCCCCACATCTCCAGGGTGTCTTCTCCCTCATCATTGCGAAGCCTGGCAGCCTTCGCCCAGGACCCATCTCTCCCCTCTGCAGTCCTGATCACATTCTCTGCCCTGAACTTGGAGGTTCTCTTTGACTTCCCTGGTTTCGTTTCTCTTCTCTTCTCTTCTCTTCTCTTCTCTTCTCTTCT